CTCTTTGCCCGCGCACTCAAAAGTCCAAGGCTGCGGGAGCAGCGCAGCGCAGAGCCCCCGCGACGCGCGCAGGTCACCCCGGAGGGGTCCCAGCGACGCGCGCGGGTCGTCCACTGCGCGGAGCGAAGAGAGCTAGCTGGCTGGCTGATCGCGGGCAAGGCTCTTGCCGCTGGGCAGAGCGACGACGGGCGAGCGAGGCGCTGGGCGGAACGCAGCACGGAGCCCCCGCGACGCGCGCAGGTCGCCCCGGAGGAGTCCCAGCGACGCGCGCGGGTCGCCCGCTGCGCGGAGCAAAGAGAGCTAGCTGGCTGGCTGGACCTGCGGTGGGGCTCCATATGGGGCCACGTAACGCTGTACTGGGCAAAGGAGACGCATGTGGACTGCGCCACGGGGACCTTCGGTGGAGCTCCCTATGGGGACACGAAACGTGTGAGGGATGTGCCGGAATGGGTGTGCGGGACGCATGCGGGCACACCCACTGAGACCTTCGGTGGAGCTCCCTATGGGGCCACGAAACGTGTGAGGGGTGGGACGACATGTGTGTGCGGGACGCATGCGGGCACACCCGCTGGGACCTTCGGTGGAGCCCCCTATGGGGCCACGAAACGTGTGAGGGATGTGCCGAAATGGGTGTGCGGGACGCATGCGGGCACACCCACTGGGACCTTCGGTGGAGCTCCCTATGGGGCCACGAAACGTGTGAGGGGTGTGCCAAAATAGGTGTGCGGGACGCATGCGGGCACACCCACTGGGACCTTCGGTGGAGCTCCCTATGGGGCCACGAAACGTGTGAGGGGTGGGCCGAAATGGGTGTGCGGGACGCATGCGGGCACACCCACTGAGACCTTCGGTGGAGCTCCCTATGGGGCCACGAAACGTGTGAGGGGTGTGCCGAAATGGGTGAGCGGGACGCATGCGGGCACACCCACTGGACCGTCGGGGGAGTTCCCCTATGGGCCACGAAAAAATGTACGAATAGTTTGAAGGGTGTGCCCAGTGCCATAATGGGTGTGCTGGACGCATGCGGGCACACCCACTGGGACCTTCGGTGGAGCTCCTTATGGGGCCACGAAGCGTGTGAGGGGTGTGCCGAAATGGGTGTGCTGGACGCATGCGGGCACACCCACTGGGACCTTTGGTGGAGCTCCCTATGGGGCCACGAAACGTGTGAGGGGTGTGCCGAAATGGGTGTGCGGGACGCATGCGGGCACACCCACTGGGACCATTGGTGGAGCTCCCTATGGGGCCACGAAACGTGTGAGGGGTGTGCCGAAATGGGTGTGCGGGAACCAAACTGCCCGGCACACCCCAATGGGACATCGGTGGAGCCCCCCTAGGGGCCACGAAAAAACGTATGAGGGGTGTGCCCGAAATGGGTGTGCGGACGCATGCGGGCACACCCACTGGGGACCTTCGGTGGAGCTCCCTTATGGGCCACGAAAAAAGCGTGTGAGGGGTGTGCCGAAAATGAGTGGCGGGACGCCAAAATATGCGGCACACGCACCTGGGACCGTTCGGTGGAGCTTCCCTATGGGTCACGACAAAAAAAAACGTGTGTGGGGTGTGCCGACATGGGTGGTGATAATGATGATGACGACAGATGTTGATGACGATGACGATGATGGGGATGATGACGATGATGATGAAGATGGGAGGAGGGAGGGGGCAGCGGGAAGGAAGGAAGGAACGCGGGGCGACGTCTCTTCAAAACGAGGACCCAACACCACAGGATGGTTGGGAAAAATCAGGTTCCCAGAAAACCTTCCGGGGACATGGTTCATCATGGGCCCGAGAGTTCCTGGAGGCTCCCATTGGGCCCCCAGGGAACGCCCAAGAGACCCCCCAACACACCCCAACAAACCATGTCCCCAGAAAACCTTCCAGCGACATGGTTCATCATGGGCCCGCGAGTCTCCAGAGGCTTCGAAGTACCATCATGCTATCATGCTACAGGAGAACTGTCTGGGAAGTTGATTGGGAACATGACTGATCGCCTTCTCGCGGCCCTCCGCAGATCGTTTCGCACAAAGTTTCCCCAAGTGCCCTCTTGAACCGACGACGACGACGAAACGACGAAGACGACGACGACGGCGGCGACGACGACGAAGACGACGGCGCGCCCCAATAGGCGACGACGACATTACGACGACGACATTACGACGACGACGACGACGACGACGACGACGACGACGACGACGACGACGACGACGACGGCACGCCCCAACAGACTCCCCAAAACGCCCCCAAACCCATGCTCCCAGAAGGCCTTCTGGGAACCCGATTCATACGGCCTCCGCCCCGTGTAGCAATGAATTCGTCAAGGTGTGGGGCCTGCTAGAACCTGAGCACGAGCGAAGCGCGCGCGATGGTTCTAGTGTGTATATATATATATATATATCTATATACATACCTGCATACATACATACATACAAACATACATGCATACATACATACATACATGCATGCATGCATACATACATACATACATACATACATACATACATGTGTATACATACATACACACATACACACATACATACATACATACATACATACATACATACATACATGCATGCATGCATGCATGCATGCATGCATGCATACATACATACATACATACATACATACATATATGTACATGTATATGTATATGTATATGTATATGTATATGTATATGTATATGTATATGTATATGTATATGTATATGTATATGTATATATATATATATATATATATATGTATACAGGCCCGCGGTCCCCAAACATGTGCCCCCATTGGGGGACTGGGAAGCCCCGGAGGTTTTGCCGAGGCGCCGGGGGCCCCCCAAGATCGCCCGAAGACGGCCCCCGGATCGCCAAACATGGCGGTTCCAGATTGCGGGAACGACCAATGACGGCCAAGACGGCCAAGGCGGCCAGAATTAGCCCCTGACTATCCAAGAGGCCTCCAAGACGCCCCCAGAAACCTCCAAGATGCCTCCAAAGGAGTCCCGGAGGCACAACTTGTTAATGATTATCCAAGAGTTTTTGAAGGATTTCCAAGTTCCCACGCGCCGCCCGGCCTTTCCCCGGCGGGGCGGTGGATGGATCCCGCAGAGGACAATCCCCACCAAGCCGCATCGCGCTGGGTTCGGGCGGCCACCCCGCCCAGGTCGCCGCCGTAGGGTCCGCAGCCTCGTCGCGGGCGGCTCTTCTCTCCCGGCCCCTGGCCCGGCCTGTCTGCTTGCGGCCGCTGCTTTCTCTCCTCCTTGTCCTCCTCCCCCTCCTCCCCCTCCCTTCGCTTCTGCTCGTTGCTTCCCTCCCTTTCCTTTCCTCCTGCTCCCTGCCTGCTGTCTCCGCCTGGCCCGTCTTCTGCCTGCCCGCCCGCCCCGCCGGCCCTGGCCTCCCGCCTGGGCGTTCGTCGTCGTCTGCCTGCTTCTCCCCTCCTCGTCCCCTTCCGCCGGACAGCACAGCCTGCCCGGAACCAGCGTGGCGGCATTAAGGGGCCTGACAAGAGAACTTTGAAGACATATTTGCGCGGCGTTGAGGCGATATCCACCTGGGATCCATCTGCCTTGTCCAGGCAACGCAGAGATCTTCCCGGAGGCTGCCGACGACCCAAGATGTCATATTGTCCGCTCCAAGAGAGCCCCAGGGGCCTCGAAGATTGCCCAAGGGGGCCCCAAGACGGCGCCAGAGGCGCACAGGACGGCCCGAAAGGGGCCTATGGGGCTCCTCCGAAGGTCCCAGTGGCGCAGCCCGCGTGCGTCCGCCACATCCGGTACAGCGCTTTGTGGCCCCATTGGGAGCTCCACCGAAGGCCCCAGGGGCGCAGCCCGCATGCGTCTCCCACACCCAGTACACCGATCGTGGCCCCATAGGAAGCTCCACCGAACGTTCCACTGGCGCACCCCGCATGAGTCCCTCCCACCCAATGTACAGCCTTTCGTGGCCCCATAGGGAGCTCCACCGAAGGTCTCAATTGCGCAGCCCGCATGTGTCTCACCCACCGAGTACTGCGCTTCGTGGCCCTACGGGGAGCTCCGACGAAGGTCCCAGTGGCGCAGCCCGCACGCGTCTCCCCCACCAATATAGCGCTTCGTGGCCCCATAGGGAGCTCCACCGAACGTTCCAGTGGCGCAGTCCGCATGCGTCTCCCCCACCCAGTACATTGTTTCGTGGCCCTACAAGGGGGTTCCACCGAACGCTCCAGTGGCGCAGTCTGCATGCGTCGCCCCCCGAAGACGATGCTTACAACTGCGGTATTCACAACTGCATCTGGTTGGGTCCTTCGCCAGGCTAATTTAAATGTGCCCCTGCTAAATTTTGCACATCGGACCATGATTACGGCCCCCGTCACCACCGAAGAAAAATCTCAGGAAGCCTTCGAGGGGCCCAAATCATCGAGCACCTAAAGGAAGTTGATGATGTTGTGGTTTCCGCATTTTCCCTTCTATACGCTTCCGAGGCTTGCGCAGGGACTCCAAGAAAGTCGTTATATGCACAGCGCGCTTCAACAATTGAGATTCCACGCGTTAGCCTGTCGAGCCTAGCTAAAACTTGAGCGCGCGCGAAACGCGCGCGATGGTTCTAGTATGTATGTATGTTTGTATGCATGTATTGATGCGCGTGCACAAGTTTGAATGGGAGTTGCTCGGAGTCATGTTGCCTTGCGTCTGTCAACCGCAACCGTTTTCTCTCAAGTTTCTCGCGGGCTGAGACCCGGGCAGCACGCCAGCACAGGGGCGGTCTTTGTGGTTTTCCTCGAAACCGTTGTCCGACCCCTTCTCACTCAGCCGCCACAGATCAATTGCCCTGGCGGCGGCGAGCCCTGGCCCGAGTGTCAGCCGTGCCCGAGCCTGACTTGCCCGCCCGCGCTGCCCGCGGAAGTGTTCGGTCTGAGGGAGTGCGCTGCCGACAGTGAGCCCGTGTGTGAGGCGGGCTGGTGGGTACTGCTCGGCTGCCTCTCTTCGGCGATCAACACCTTCTGCCTCGCGGTGTCCGCCTGCCGTCGCCGGCGCCATGACGCTGGTGGCAACAGCGGGCGGCGCGGCGGCGCGGGAGTTTTGGAGACGGCTGCGGCCCGGAGAGGTGTACCTGGCGTGGTACGAGGACGACTCGGTATGGCACGAGAGGATGTGTCTCGGGCCGACGGCCGAGGAGACCATGTGGATGATATTGACGCCCGACGGGCACGCGTACGCTGAGAGCGTCGTGGGCTGCGAAGACGGCCCCGCCAGGACGCGGGGACTTCGCGGCGGCGCGCTGCCAGGCGGGCTGCGGGAGAGCGTGTACCGTTTCAAGGAGTACCCTGGGACTCGGGAACTGAGAATGCTGATGACGGAGGTTCGCGAGGAGGCGACCCTGGCAGCGGCTGGTGCCTCCCTGCCCGTGGTCACGGTGCACGTCAGTCCCAGTGGGCGCGAGAGGCCGATCGGGACGCTGCTGGAGGCCGCAGGAGGAGTCGCTAAAGGCGTGGACGCGCTGCTTGCCGCCACGGCCGACGGTCTGCCCGCAGGGCTGACGATGGTCACTGCACCGCGGCCACCTCCCGAGGGGAAGGTCTGGGTGGTGGTAGACCTGTCGGTGGGCTGGGGGCGCGTCGGCGAGCCACTGGAGGTCGGCGTCGGGGACTTGATGTTTCCTGGCAGTGGTGGCTGGCAGGGGGCGCTGGTCCGTGAGGGCGGTGGGTGGACGAAGGTGCTGGCCCTCAGCGAGCACGAGCGGGACGGCTTTCGCGAGCGGGCTCGGCGGCCACTCGCAACCGCCACGCCTGAGGGGGCGGTGGGAGAGGCGGAGGCCGCCGCCGGCACCAGCACCCCGCGCCCTGAGGGCGGCCTAGACGCCCTGGCTGCGAGGCTTGGCGCGGGCGATCAGAGCGGCGATCAGAGCGGCGGTGGAGGCGGCCCCAGCAGTGACGGAGACGCGCGCACGCTGGCCGTCGACTTCGACGCGCAGGGCAAGAGGTACAAGGCCTGGCGGGAGGTGGTGGCGGAGATGTCTCGACACGGTTTCGCGGACTGGCCGCTCGACACGCCGCCGACCGCGATCCACTTCTGCGCCCATATGGAGAGGACGGGGCGAGTGCCGTCAGGATGGCTGGACAAGTGGGCGCAGAGTAAGAACATCGTGAGTAGCGATACCGTGTATTATGCGTTGAAGACGATCATAGATTCATTGGAGTACGCAGGATGCTACGACCAGCTCAACCTCGGGTCGCTGGTGTTCGCGGAGCTCCTTTGCCTGCGGGTGCAGGCCATAGTCGGCGCCTACGACACCAATCCGAACAAGCCTAGCTTCGAGAACGCGAAGTACTTCTCGGGCCTCAAGAGCTTGTCAGATGCGGTGTCGCCCGACCTGAAGAGCTTCGCTGCTCGGAAGGCCAAGGAGGATACCGAGGTTGAGAAGCAGCGGCAAAAGGTCAGAGAGTTGCGCGGCAAGGGCGACAACAATAAGACTGATGCCGCGGGGGGAAAGAAATGATCGTCGCGGCTGTGTCTGGGACCACCAGCGGACACAGCACGCGCATGATATTGGTGGGCCGTACCCGAAGGAGCATTTCAACCCCGAGAAGATTTGTCCCGTGCCGTTGCTCGAGACAGAGCCCCCTGCTCGTGGCCTCTCCCGTGGAGTACGTCAGCGAGTTGGGCGTCGGCGCGCGTTTGACAACAGGGCCAACGAAGTGTTGCATGCCTTGAACTGGATGTCAGGTTGCGGAGCCGCTGTGGAGGTATGTCGAGCCCCCGCAGCCGCACCTCCAGTCCATCGAGAGATCTACGAGCGGGTGCTGAAGGCTGTCCACAGCTGGAAGTCACCTGGCCACAGCGTCTCTCAGGAGGAAGCCGCGCGCGCTTCTCCGCGCCGAGTCGGTGTGCGACCAGGCGCACATGACTGTGACGCCCTACGAGGAGGGCAAGTTGTCGCTCCCCGCTGACGTCCGCGGCGCGAGGTGCGCGGAATTGATCGGGGGTGCGCGCGCCCGCGTTTTGCTCGAGGTTTGTCGAACGTAATCGGCGGATTTCGAGGAGGTTGGCGAGCTCGATCACGTTTTTGGGGCTGTTAAGCCGTGCATGGACCGCCGCTTGGAGTCGTCGCCTCGGCTCTACAGGAGGTTCGTGCGCCAGCTTGACCAGAAGGGCATGATTCATTGGACGAGGGCCCCCAAGTGTATCTTATTTCGGTGTTCTCTGTCAAGAAGAAGAGTGGGGCCCTTCGCATGATCACGGATGCGAGACCTGTTAGCAGACTTTTTCGGCCACCCCCTGGGGCGCAGCTATGCGCTGCCGAGGGCCAGGGGCGCATTGAGCTCCAGGGGGGGCCGCCCACGTGCGCGTGGCGCAGGCGGACGTCGCGGACTGCTTCCATCGGCTGCGGATGCGGGAGGAGCTCGCGGAGTTCTTCGCGATGCCTCCCCTGTCGGCGCGTGCTGCCGGGCTGCTGGGGCGCGCGAACGTGGGCGTCGTTTTCGATGACGAGCTGCGGTGGCCCTGCTGCGCTACTTTCCCGACGGGCTTCAGCTGGGGCCTCGTGGCGGCGCAGAGCGTGAACGAGTATCACGCGGCGCAGGGTCCAGGGCTGGGGCTGTCGCCGCCGATGGCGGATCGCCGCGGCCCCGCGGTGCTGCGGGGGGGCGCAGCGGCCGCGCACTGCGTGCGCGTGGACAACCTCGGCGTGATCAGCGCGGGGCGAGACACAGGTGCGGCTGGCTTCGCGGGGGCGCGCGAGTCCTTCGAGCGCGCCGGCCTGATGCTGCGCGACCGCCTGGAGGAGCCGCACGCGATGGAGAGCCTAGGCGTGGAGCTGGGCGCTGAGAGGCGCGAGACGCGGCTCACCGTGGCACGCTACTGGCGACTGGATGCTGGGTTGCGGTGGCTGCTGGCACGGCGGAAGGTCTCTACGCACATGGTCGAGGTTTTCGTGGGCCACTGCGCCGGCGTCGGTCTGCTCGCGAGGCAGACGATCTCCGTCTTTCATGCTGTGTACAAGTTCGCGCAGGCCTACCCCGCAGGTCTTTTCCCGATGTGGGGCTCGGTGAGAGCTGAGTTCACCGCCTTCTTGGGGCTCATGCCGCTGTCGATCGCGTCTTGGGAGTTGCCCTGGAGTGGAGTGGTCGACGCCAGCGACGCGAGCGAGGGCGGGTGGGGAAGCTGTTCCACGCGGTGAGGAGCTGAAGCGGCTGCCCTGCACGGACGCGCGCCCGAGAGGTCGAGATATAAGCTGACTTCGGCCTCGGCCAGAGCCCGCGCCTTGCAGCAGGCTGGCTTGAACTCCTTCGATGTTGAGGAGCCCGAGCTCTTGGGGGAAGAGTTCGAGGAGGTGGGGGACTTCCCCGAGATCCCGAGGCGCCTGCTTGACAAGCGGGACTGGCGAGTCACCCTTCGGGGCCGCTGGAGAGCAGCGGAACACATCGCCCTGTTGGAGGCCCGAGCGGCAGCAGCCATGCTGCATCGGGGCGCGCGGGCGCGGCCTGGCGCCCACGCTCGCAAGTTATAGCTAGGTGACAACCTGGGGATGGTGCTGGCATTCGAACGGTGCCGGGCACGAGATTTTGAAATGCTGACTGAAGTAAAAAAGTTGTGTGGCGATCTGTCTTGCAAGAGAGATCCGACCAGCTATCAGGTGGATTCCGTCAGAGTGGAATGTTGCAGATGAGCCCTGCAGAGACCTCCATGGTGGCCCTCTCCGTTTGCCGCGGCCGCCTGGGCTCGAGCTTCGAGGAGGGCGGCGGGCGGAGCTTCCTCCAGCACAGCAACCGACGGCGCATGCTGCCGCGGGCTGGGCTGAGCGCGACGGACCCGCCGAAGGCGGGCAAGCGCGCGCGGGAGCTCACCGCCCCTGTGGCTGGGCAGCCGCAGGCTGGGGGGGCGGCCCAGAGGACGAGGAGGCTCGAGAAGGGGGTCAACCTCGACCCGAGGAGGGGGATCACGCACCTGGAGGGGAAGAGCGTGACCCCAAATGTGAAGGGGGACTACCGCCGCAGATTGAGGATAGCGCTCAGCTACGCCCAGAGGCGGCAGTTGCCTGCCAACAACGCCGACGAGGTCGACCAGTTGCTCACCCACCTGATGAACACAAGGTACTGCGACGGCGAGCACAGCAGCTACGGCGTCAAGCTTCTCGCCGCCTGGATGGCGATCTACCCCGAGTACGGCAAGTACGGGCTCCAGCGGTCGCCCAGGAGTGGGCGAGCGCTCAAAGGCTGGAAGCGACTGGTGCCTGGGCGCGCGAGGAAGCTTTTCTTTTTCCCCGTCGTGGCCGGCCTGGTGGCGGCGCTGATCCACTTGGGGGAGCTCGAGGTGGCGCCGTGGATCGTGGTGCGCTTCGGGTTCTACCTCGGGCCCTGCGAGCGCCTGCGGATCCAGCCAGAGGACCTGATAGCCCCTGTGGTGGGCATGTCGGAGCACTGGGGCCTGGTGATAGCACCAGAGGAGCGGGGGACCCCTACCAAGGTGGGCGCTTTCGACGACGCACTCTGGGACGCCCCCTATTTGAGCTTCATGACTGGAGTTTTCTCGGTGCTGCGGAGGCGGGCACAAGGGAAGCCGATGTGGAATCTTGACTACCCACGCGTCCTGAGGTCCATGAGGATGGCGTCGAAGCTCCTGGGCGTCGACGCAGTGCCGTACCACATGCGCCACTCGGGGCCGAGCTGGGACCGACTGAAGAACGCGCGAACGCTGCAGCAGATCCAGAAAAGAGGCAGGCGGGCGTCAACGAAGAGCCTGGTGAGGTACAAGAAACACGGCAGGCTTGCCATGCAGATGTCGGAACGCTCAGTGGCCCGCCAGGAGTGGTTCAGAAGCTGCGAGGCACACGTAGGGGAGTTCGTCCTAGGTTCGAGAGTCGTAGATTGGCCGCCTCCGCCGTGAATGATGGAGTTGTCCTCGATCTTTTTTTTGGCTCGGGCGGGGTGGCTAGGGCCGCCAGGGCTGAAGGCTTCAAAGCTGTAGAGTGGGGCCGAAAGTTCGGTGAGGCCTTTGATTTAAGCCGTCAAAAGCACGTTAGGATTATAAAGAAGATGATCCGTGTCGGACAAGTCATTGGGGCTCGCTTGGCTCCGCCCTGTGCCAGTTTCTCAATTGCCAGAGATCGGACCAGGATGGTTCGCGACAAAAGCCATCCTTGGGGTCTTCCCGATCTTCCAGAGCACGAGCAGTCGAAGGCAGAAGACGGCAATCGTTGCCTGCAGTCGCCGTTGCAGATAATTCGCTGTCTGAATAGTTTCTCGATTCCCTGGGCCTGGGAAAACCCGCTGACAAGTGGAATGTGGTTGACGCCCCAGGCCCAGACAATCGAAAGCTTAGATGTGGTGACTGACGTAACCTGTGATTTCTGCATGATGGGCACCCCCTGGAGGAAGAGGGCCCGCATTAGATTTGGCAACGTGTGTTTAGAAGACCTAGAGAAGCTTGCGCGTTTGAAATGTTCGGGAAGAAGCGGTCTTTGCTCCCGCACTGGCAAGAAGCATTTCCAGTTGACGGGGGGGGGCTCAGGAGTTCGATGGGCCGCCATCGCTGAGCCCTACCCCCCGAAATTGCGCCGCCTGCTCGCGCGAATCCTCACTGAGAAAGCTCGTTCCCAGAGACAGCCGGATGGTCCAAAATGGGGTAGCTCTCCGAGTTTTCGGGATGCCCGAAACCTTTTCGCGCTGCGGGACGTTTTGAAAGCTCTCTCCTGCTCGTGGGAGCCGTGGTGACCCAGGAGCTCTCGCCGTGTGTAGACAGCGTCACAATCATTCGAGATAGATTGCCCACCAGAAATGAGCACTCCCAGTAATTGATGTGCGTGCACAGGTTTGAATGGGAGTTGTTCGGGGTCGTGTTGCCTTGCGTCTGTCAACCGCAACCGTTTTCTCTCAAGTTTCTCGCGGCCCAGTGCCGTGCCCTGTGTTTACCTTGCCCCGCTTCCCTTGTCTCTCGGGAACTGGTCGTGGCCGACGACTCGGTCAAGATGGAACGCCTGCCAGCGGGCCGCCACCTTCACCGACGTAGCGTCCGGTGCTCGTCCTCAAGCCTCGACTTGCCTTGTCGGACTCGGGACGTTTTGAAAGCTTTCTCCTGCTCCTGGGAGCCGTGGTGACCCAGGAGCTTTCGCCGTGTGTAGACAGCGTCACAATCATTCGAGATAGATTGCCCGCCAGAAATGAGCACTCCCAGTAATGTATGTATGTATGCATGCATGCATGTATGCATGCGTGCATGCATGCATGTATGTATGTATGTACGTATGTACGTATCAATGGATGTATGCATGTATGCATGCATGCATGTGTGCTTGTCTGTATGCAGATGTGTATGCATGCATGCATGTGTTGCATGCATGCATGGATGTATGTATGCCTGTCTGTATGCCTGTATGTCTCTGTGTAGGTGTGTATGTGTGTATGTATGTGTGTATGTATGTATGCATGCATGCATGGATGTATGTTTGTATGCATACATGCACGTATGCATATATATATAGTGTGTACATACATATTTATATATATATATATATATATGCATGTACGTATGTGTGCACGTATGTAGTGTGTATGTATGTCTGAATGTATGTAGGTAGGTAGATAGGTGGGTATGTGTGCGCTTGCGCGTGAATGCCGAAATTGATTCATCCCCTTGTCGCTTCAGGAAAAACGCTCAGAATAATTGTTTGTGCCAGCGCTGAAGGTTGAGAGAGGCTTATCCCATTTTCACTACAGTGTTCTCTCCGTGGCGCCCTGTTTTTGTGCTCAAAGGGGCCCTCCCGGGGCGTGGGCGACATCGTGCCCGCGGACCGGCCCGAGCGCGCCCTCTATCCCGTTTGGGCCATCCTCGCCGCCGAGGCGGGCCAGCTGGCGCGCGGGCTGCTGGCTGACTGGCGGCCACCTGAGCCCGAGGCGGCTGTGGGAGGCCACGAGCAGGAGGCGTTCGTCTGCCCAGAAGTCACTTGCCCGCCTTGCCAGGTGGCCCCGCCGTGTCCGGCGGCGCCCGACCCGTGGCCGTGCGCGGGGGCAGGAGCGAGCGCAGTGTTCGTCGGCCAGCTGATTTGGCGGTTCGTGAAGGCCCAGCGCGTGCGGGGCAGCCGTAGCCATGGCTCTGCTCCGGCGCGACGCGGAGGCGGCGTGGTTGCATGATCTGGTGCCTGGCGGCCTCAAAGTGACGACGTTCACGGATGATGAGGTCGCCCACGAGAGGCTGCTGTTGTGGCCCGTCGACAGGAAGAAGTGGTGCATCGCGTCGCCGACGGAAGCGTCTACATCGAGCCAGTCGTGAGAGACGAGGACAGGGGGGTGGCCGACACCATCCCGCTCGACGACGTTGGCACAGTGCCGGCTACCTCCCCGATGAAGGTCCACCGCTTCCGCGAGTGCCCGAACGCCGAGGGGCTGCGGGAGCTGCTCCGGGATGGCCGAGCGGTAGTGCGCACCGAGCTCGGGCGCGAGGCCCCCGAGGTGGCGACGGTGCTGACCCCCGCGTGCGAGCGGGTGCCGCTGGAAGACCTCGCGCCGGGCCTGCTGGCTACGCGCCGGACGCGGGGGGAGGTTTCCCCCAAGGCGGCCGCTGCCGCCTCGGCGAGGCGGCCCGCCGGGCCCGCGCCCGGCCTGGCGGGCAGCGACGGCCGCCCCCTGCCGGCGCCGCCGCCCGTAGCGCCGTCGGACCAGCTGACGGCCGTGGACGCCGCGGATGCTGCCGAGGGCTACATCTGGGCGCTGGCGGAGCCCACCGGCCGACGCGCCATCGGCGCGGAGATCGACGGCGGCGCGAATGTGTTGCTGGCGCCCGGCGGCCTCGACGGCCTCGCGAAGCTGGACGACCACTGGCGGCGCATCGAGGGCATGGCTCCCGAGGCGGCCCCAGGCTACACGAAGCACCGCTCCGACGAGTTGAAGGAGAGCCTGGGGATCGCCAAGGAGGAGCCCTGCTTTGACGAGTCCGACCTTCGCGACAGGCTGGGCAGAGCCTTGCCTGAGGCCCCGGGTGGGACTGCCGCGCCCCCGCCAGCTGCCGCCGCCGAGGCGGCCGTCGAGACTGGCGATCTGCGGACCATGGTGATCGACTACGACGGCCAGGGCGATCGCTAAAAGTCTTGGAAGCAGGTGGTCCAGGAGCAGTAGCGAGACCCGCGAGTCGCAGCGCATGGAAGGCCCTCCGATTGCGTTCCCGATGTCCAAGCGCATTCGACAGGGGGGGCCCTCGCTCATGGCTGCGCGAGTGGCTGCGAGAGAAAGGGATTGCCGCGACGGACCGAGTCGCACATGAAATGCGGCCCCTCGTGGGGCCCCGCTGGCTCGCGGGGGCGGTGGGCCAGGTCAACATCGGCGGCCTGCTGCGCATCGAGGCGATATGCCGACGCATGGCTGGCATCGTGGCGGCCTGCGCCAACCGAGCCAAGCCGGCCTGGGATCTGACCCGCTACTGCACGAGCCAGCAGTCGGCCGAGGACGTGGTCGGCCCCGAGATGCGCAGCTTCGTGCCCTGGCGGGCCAAGGAGGACCGCGAGACCGGCGCTGGCGGGCTGCGTGGATCTCCAGCCGAGCACGGCGCCGGAGGTTCAGCAGGCAGCGGCGCCGACGGCGGAGGTGAAGGCGGGGGAGGTCGCGGCGGTGGAGGTCGCGGCGGGGGCGGGCGCGGGCGCGGCGACAAAGGCCGCGGGACTGGCGCCCCCCCCCGCCGCAGCATGGGCAGGGGGCTGGCCGAGGAGAGCCCCGACCTCGGCCGAGCTCTAGGGGCCGCCTCAGGCCGCGTTGCGGCTACTCGAGGGCCACGAGATCTTTTTCCTGCGCCCCTGCTGGACACGCCGCCTCCGCTGGCGGCCGCCTCGGCGGGGGCCGCGAGGGCGAGGCGCAGAGAGCAGCTGGAGATTGGTGTGGCGAATGAGGCGATCAGTGCACTTAATTGGCTGGCAGGGTATCGAGCGGGTGAGAGGCCCCTTCCCATGGATGATGCCCAGCGGCTCCTTCGCGAGCGAGCTCGAGGATTGGCATCGGGCCGGCGCCCGGACTCCGCTCCCACAGCGACGGCAGCCCTCGTGCGGATGCTGCGCGGCCGCTCACCGTATGAGGCGGGGGTGACCACCTCTCGTGTTGCGCCCTTCTAGCTCGACCGCATCTCTTTGCCACAGTCCGTTCGGAGCTGCCCCCATGCTGATGAGGTAGCCCCACAGGAGGTCGCTAAATACTTGGTGGATTATCAAGAGCGCATGCTGAGGCAAGGTGATATCTTGCCTAAGATCGAACCATACTTAGACCCCAAATTAAAGTTCCACCAGAAGGAATGCCAGCGTCTAGTTCGGGATCTGTTCGACATCGGCATGGTCGACTGGACTACGACCCCGAAGTGTCGGATAGGATTGTTCTGTGTTCCCATGAGTGATGGCAAGTCGCTCCGATTGATCGTCGATGCTCGTCGCGCGAACGAGGTCTTCGCTGACCCGCCCGCGGTCGACCTGCTGACGGCCGAGGGCTTCGGCCGGGGCGAGGCGGCGCTGCCGGCCGGCATGGCGCCACGGAGCCCGGAGGCGGTGGAGTACCTCAGCAAGCTCAGGCTCGTGGTGGGCACGTCGGACGTGGCCAACTGCTTCCATTGCCTGAAGCTGGGGCCCGAGATGTCCGCGCACTTCGGGCTGCCCGCGGCCCCAGCGCACGTCTTCGGGCTCGAGGGGGCCGTGGCGGGAGGCCGGCACCTGGGTAGGGCCTCGCCGGTGTATCCCGCGTGGGCCGTGCTGCCGATGGGGTTCACATGGAGTCTCTGGTTTGCCCAGCGCATGAACGAGCTGCAGACGCGAGGCGCTCCTACCCCCCTGGGCGCCCCCCTCCATGACAAAGGGCCGCCCCTGAAGGTGCTGCCGCCAGAGGCGGCCGCGGGTCAGGCGCAACGCTACGTGCACGTCGACAACCTCGGGATCCTGCACGCAGGCGCTACGAGGTCGGCGAGGCCATCTCGGGCCTGCAGCGACACTTTGCCGATTTGGGTCTGGTGCTGCACGAGTCCTCGGTGACCGACGAGGCGTGCAAGACGCTGGGCGTCGAGCTGCTGGGCGAGGGCCTCCGGTCGCGAGTGACCTCGGAGCGGTGGTGGCTGATCCGCCGCGCCGTCGAGGCTCTTCTTCGACGCCCGAAGTGCTCGGGCTGGGCGCTGGAGGTGGTGTTCGGCCATTGTACCTTCGCCAGGCTCGCCAACCGAGGAAGCCCCTCGGTGTGGCACACGGTGTACGCTTTCATGCATAAGTATCGCGACGGGGCCGCCTACCTCTGGGACGAGTGCCAGCAGGAGCTTCGCGCGTTCAAAGGGCTCATGCTGTTCCTGGAGAGCGACTGGACGCGGCCGTGGAACCCGATGGCCTTCGAGACTGATAGCTCCGTCGGGGATGGGCATCGCCAAGGCCACGCGGGATCCGGCGGGCGTCTCCGCCGTGGGCCGGGCGCTGGAGCGCTCGCGCTTCAAGCGGTCTGGTGGCTGCGGTGCCCGCGAGTCTACCCTGGAGGCCGCGGGCTTCTGGCGCGACACGTCGGGCAAGTGGCGAGTGACCGACTCGGGCGCAGACCCGAGAACCGAGGGCGCCTGGGCGCTAGATTTTAGTTATGCCGAGGTACCGGCCAGGCTCCTCTCTTCCAGTCTCTGGCGCGCTTGCTATGCACGTAGGTGGTCGCTTGATGAAAACATTCTTCTGAAGGAAGCACGGGTGGTCCTCGTTGCCGTCAAGCGTCTGGCCATCTTCCAGGGAGCTCGCGATCTGAGGCAATTGGTTCTAGGTGATAATATGTCAGTCGTCCTTGCTGTCAGTCGTAGCAGGTGTCGCGATTTTAGGCTGCTCGTCATTATCCGACGCATCCAGGCCTACTGTCTCTCTGGGAGCATACAACTTTTGGTCCGCTGGATCCCCTCGGAGTTCAGCTTTTCGGACCTGGGTTCCAGGGTGTTCAGCGGCCCCGACGCAAGCGATCCTTTGGTAGACGAGCTAGACGCCAGGTCTCGCCGTTTTTTTTGGGGGGCGGAGATGAACGACGATGGGAAGCCCTTTCCCTTTTATTTTCCTGACAGTAATGCTCCACCCGATCTCTCCCCCGCTTCCGCCCCTGGCGGCTCCTCCGTAAATGTCTTGGCTCGAACCGTTCTGTCTGAGGATGATCCGCCGAGGGGCCTGCGCGAGCCGCGCTCGCCCCGGCCCCGGGCGAGAGACGCGCCTGACCCGCGAGGGCGCTCATGGGGGCCTGGTCTCGCGCCTGACCCCGCGGTCCGCGCGGGGGGCAAGGCTGGGGCTGAGCCCGCTGGCTGTGCGACCATCCGCTACAGGGCGCAAGCGGAAGCTGATGGGCGCGGGCGGCCGCAACGAAGTCGACGACAGCGGCGGCGCCACGAGCGAGCAGGGCGGAGGCGAGCGCGCAGTTCCGAAGCGGGCGGCGGCGTTGAGGAAGAAGGCCCGCCAGCGCCGGTCGAAGTTCCTCTCCGAGGCGGCGACCAGGGCCATGGATGGCGGGCTCAACTTTCTCGAGGCCAGCAGCGTCACGAAGCCGGCGCGGGGGCGGTGTGAGAGGGTGGTGGTGGAGTTCATAGATTATTGCGACCGCCCCCCTGCCTTGGCGCTGAGATCAGCCGTCCCAGTGGACAAGGCGTTGTCCCAGCATTTCAACTACCAGTTCTTCCAGGGCCACGAGGCAGCCAGGGGGGGGCAGGCCTTTGCGGGCCTCATGCTCATGTTCTCGAGGCCAGAGTTCGGCAAGGTGGGCTCCCAGAAGCTGCCCAATGCTTGGTGGGTGCTGCGAGGCTGGCGCAAGCGGGCGCCCGCTCGCAGCCGCCGGGCGCGGGCCTTGGGGGTCTGGGCCGCCCTCGCGCGGCGCCTGGGCGCGACGCAGGGGCTGCTGATGTGAGTGTTCCTCTTGCTCTCGCTCAGCGCGCACCGTCGCCCCGGGGAGCTCATGGGGTTGCGGAGGAGGGGGCTCGTCGAGCCAACGCCCGGCGTCTCCAAGAGCTGGAGCATCCTCCTCTTCCCCAGCGATCGCATCGAGAGGTCGAAGACGGGCCTGGCGGATGTGTGCATTGCCCTCGACAGCAAGCGGGCGCGGTGCTCGACTCCGCTCTGGCCGCTGCCGGCCAAGGACGATCCCGACGACCTCGTGTTCACTTTCGAGTACCTGGCCTGCGTGCGTGCCTTCCAGAGCATCGTGAAGGAGCTGGGCATAGAGGACAGGATCATCCCCTACCAGGCGCGCCACAGCGGACCCTCCATAGATGCGTCGAGGAGGTGGCGCACGGCAGACGAGGTCCAGCGGCGGGGGCAATGGAAGCAGGCCAGGTCACCGATCCGCTACGAGAAGGGGGCCAGGCTGGGAGAGAGCTGGGCCGGGCCCCACCCGAGGCCCCAGGTCGTCTGCGAGCTGTGCGGAAGACATTTCGCGGACATTGTGCTGCGACGCCCTCATCCGGTCAGCCTTCACTTGCCTGGCGCCGTGGGCAAGGGCAAATCCTCGTCGATTGCTTCGCGGGGAGCGGCGCCGTCAGCGCAGCGAGCTTGAGACAGGGGCGCCTTGCTAAAGGGTGTGGCTCTGCGAGGGGGGCTGACGAGGACTTATGCCGCCGCTGCGTTCGCAGGCATGTCCAGTGTCAGGTCCTGCGAGACGAGGTGGCTGCAGCCAGTCTTGCGCCGCCGTGCGGGTCCTGGGGTGTAGCTGCTGAGAGGATTCGCTCGAAGAATCGACCATGGGGGCTGCCGTGGAACGATCTGACCCTCGTCAGCGTGAGAGACTGCGCCTTGGCAATCGGACATTTCGCGTTGCGCTGTGGCTGTTGAGAATTTTCTGTCGCTCGCGCATGCCTGTTATGATTGAACATCAGATCAGTTCACGAATTTGGCGTGCGCCCGAGCTGATCCGTTTGGCTCAGCAATAGAATTGCCTTTTTGTTACTTTAGACCAGTGTGGGCACGGTGCTAGGTGGACGAAGCGAACCAAACTTGTCTTTTTTTCCTATGTGTTCCCCGAGGACCTCTCGAAGCTGTCGAGGCTCTGTCGCGGTTCCAAAGGGTGCTGCTCCTTCTCCGGGAAACAACATGTTATCCTAGAGGGTCTGGCCTCTCCGGGTGTAAAATGGACAGCTGTCGCTGCCGCCTACCCCAATAAGCTTGCCGATTAATGGTGCAGACACTTCTAGCTCCTTCTAGGCTCGCGTGTGCTAGCCAATTGGAGAAGTCGCTTTTTGAGCGCCCACCCACTGCGGCCCTGTGAACCTTTCGGGCTCGGGGTTGTCAAGTTTTGGATCCTGTCACAGCTCTCGCTATGACGGACGATACGCAGTAGCAGAATTGTTCACCGCCTGGGAAGGCATGCAGAACTGTTTGTGCTTGCGCGTGAAGGTCGAGAGTGATAGATCCCCTTGTCGCTTCAGGAAAAACGCTCAGAAGAACTGTTTGTGCCAGCTCTGAAGGTTGAGAGAGGCTTATCCCATTGTCATTGTCACTGCATTGCTCTCTCCGTAGCCCCTTGTTTTTGTGCCCCCACCCGCTTACAGCTTCGAGTCACTCCCGACTCGCCCAACCGATTACAATTCAACTCTGGGGTTGTCAAGTTTTGGATCGTGTCACAGCTCTCGCTATGACGGACGACACGCCGTAGCAGAATTGTTTACCGCCTGGATACAGCATGCAGAACTGTATATATGTATGTGCATGTGTAAGTGTAGGTGTAGGTGTAGGTGTAGGCGTAGGTGTAGGTGTAGGTGTATGTGCATGTGCGTGTGCATGTGTATATGTATGTGCAAATATATGTGTATGTGTATGTGTAGGTGTAGGTGTAGGTGTAGGTGTAGGTGTAGGTGTAGGTGTACGTGTAGGTGTAGGTGTAGGTGTATGTGTAGGTGTATGTGTATGTGTATGTATGCACATGTGTAAATCTAGACGATGTCCCGCGGAATTGTCCCTTTGCCCTTCATTGCATCCTCTCTTTCCTCCATGCCTCCTCCCTCCCTCCATCCGTCCTCCCACCTCTTTTCCCCTTCTTTCCCAGCCCCCCTACCTGGTCGCCCTCTCTCTTTCCACTCCCGCGGTGGATCCCCGCCGGAAAAATCGTCAGCACCTGGTCAGAAGGACCCCCTCCAAATCGGGCGGACGGCAACGGGGGGTAATCAACGCGGGAGGATTGATGTTTGCATCACAGTTGCCCCAAATGGGCCCCGAACGGCCCCTGACCACAGTTGGAGCAAAAGGTTCTCGAAAGGCGCGTTTTTTCGCCCCACGTTTGTCGCCCCCCCCTCGTGTCCCAATTCGCAGCGGCGTGCCCCGCCGCTGCTCGACCGCCGTCTGATCTTTTGCGGCCGCTGACTAAAACGCTTTGCCCCCCGCCAACGAACAGCCGACCGAAAAGGCCCCCCGCCTCAAGACAAAGAAAACGTCCGCCGCCCTGCCCCTCTTTCCCTCCTCCCCTTTGCTGGCTCCTCGGCTTTCGCTGGGGCCCCAGTTCGGAGCGCCCAATCTTCCGGCGAGATAAGAGTCACCGAGTTTCCCACGTCCGTGTCCTGCGCACCTCTGGGTGTATTACTCGTCCGCGACCCCCGGGGAACAAGAGGGGGCGGTTCTTTTCAGAAGGCGGTGGGGCTTCCCAGAGGCCCTCGCGCCTTCTGAAAAACCGTTTCTGCCGTCGGGGAAGGCGTAGAGAGCTTTGCGGTAGGCGCACCTCCGTGTGCACGCATGACTTTTTGCTTGCCTGCGTCCGCCCAGAGGCGCCCGCGGAGGTGGACGAGGAGGCGTCCGGCGTGTTGTTCGACGACGGCAGCGACGCGAGCGCGGACGAGGGTCCGCGCGAGGGCAGCTGGCAGGCCTCCCCTCCTCGGCGCCCCCCTCGTCCCCCTCCTCGTCGTCCTCGTCGACATCCTCCTCCTCAAAATTCTCCTCATCCTTTCGGTCGCGGGTGGGTCGCGGGGTGGGTCGCGGGGTAGGTCGCGGGGTGGGTCGCGGGGTAGGTCGCGGGGTGGGTCGCGGGGTGGGTCGCGGGGTGTGTCGCGGGTGGGTCGAGGGTGGGACGACGACAGGAAACAAACGAGCAAACGAACAAACAAGCAAACAACAACAGGAACAACGCAACAGACATATTCTTCACCACGGCTCCACACTTCAGCCACGCACCCAGGGACAATGAACGGCCGTTCGGTCCCGTCACTGTGTATATAATTTGGGGTCCCACCGTCGGAACAATTATTGTTACCATCAGTACTACTATTATGTCTACGATTACTACTTTTATTAATATTTCTATTGTTACTACTGATACTACTAGCACGAGTACTACTACTACTACTACTACTACTACTACTACTACTACTACTACTACTACTACTACTACTACTACTACTACTACTACGACTACTACTACGACTA